TGTGGGGGGCCCGCGGCCGCTTTAGCCCGCCACCCCCCCGTTCTCCCCCGCCAGCTGGAAAGCGGTATTTTCAACTATTTGTTTTAAATTGTGCGCAAATTGGATGATTTGCTGCCATCTAGTGACTCCCCACCTCCCTGCCACTCTCCCCAACAAATCTCTGAAGAGAGGAGTCAGCCAGAACGAGCTTTTTCTTTTTTCCCGCTGAAAACGCATTTCCTCCCTTAATTTTTTCCCTTAGCGCTGCTTTTCTTTCCCACCACCGCGAAGTGTTGGAAAACACCAATAATACCTGGGCTTAAAGCACTCATAGCTTTCACTCCGCAAGCCGTAAAGATCTCGCCCCCCCCGGTTTTCTTTGTAAATTGGGATAACAGCTTGTTATTTTTAAGTTGTTCTCATTTTATATCAAAATTCCCTTAGGCGCAGAGCTGCGAGTGGTTCAGTGGTTTTGTTACGTTCTCTGTGGTCAGTCGTTGCCGTACGACAGCTATTTAATTCCCCATGAGTTAGTAAAGTCCCTTAAATAAGTATTAAAGGCAACTGAAATGTTCTCAAACACTTTATCCAGTCTCCTGTGTGGGGCTGACCTTCAACGCTGAGGAAACTCCTGAACTTGCTGGTTGGTTGTGCAGAGAAGCTCAGTTTGGAAGTAGCGGGATACTTGAGGCTGCAGTTGGGATACTGGGAGATGGGTGGAGTTAAACAATTTCTTCTGGGAGCTTTTTTTTTTTCCCACCTTCCCCTCCATTTTAGGATGACTAGAAGTAGCTGTGCGTTGTGGTAGGCAGGTGTGGCTGTAAAATACAGAGATACACCTGGAGTAGCTTTAATTTTACGAGCTTGGATAGGAGGAGTAGTAAAAAAAGGCTTCTAGGAGCACACAGCCTCTCGGAGGGGCTCCTGTCGCCTCCATTCTGCGGTGTTGGTGTAGATTCAGGTGCAGTAGTTGCCTGTTGGTGGTTGGAGATGGAGCGATAAGGGAGGAGTGCTCTGGGGTGTGCAGTGAGTGTCAGCCTTGCACAGAGAACCACAGTTAAACAGATTTTTCAGCACAAGTGGTGAGTTTCCTCAGCGAGGATGCGCTCCCCTCGCCAGGCGCGTTCCTCTTTGTGTAATTCCAGCAGTTCTTGGTTCAGGCGTGGTTCAACCAACCCGTTACCCTGTGATCTAACCTCTCTTAGTCATTGTTCCCTTGCTGCTGCACTCATCCGTGCTTTGGCTTTTTAAAACGTCAGGAATGTTCATGTTCTTTAGTTAAAACTTCAAAATTATGTTGGAAAAGCACTGGTGAATGCAGACCCTGCCTCCTCTGTCCGAGGAGCTTCCTCGGGTGCTGGCGCTCCTTTGAGCTCCTGTGGTTTCATGTCCTGTTCACCTTCTCTCCGTTCCCATTTCTGTTGGCACCTGTTGTCACTTGTGTCCCCGGGGGATGGGGACTGTTGATAACGACACCGTGCTTGTGGCACTCTTACAAACTCCCAACCCGTGGCTGTTTCCTTCTTGTGTGTCTCGATGAGTTTTCATCTCTAAAGCAGAAAGCGTCCAGGTCGCTTCCTGCCCAGTCAGATTTCCAGGGATTGTTCCATAGCCATTCTGTGCCATAAATCAGAATTGAATTATCATGGCGATTCCTGTGAAGTGTAAATTTTTGTGGTTTTGCTCTGTTTCCCCCTGATAGAGAACAAAGCTCTGGGGATTGCTTTTGCTGGTGGTTTGGGCTGGAAGGGGACGATCATTTCCTGTATAATTTCTTAGTCAGACCTTAAATATGTGCCGAAGCTTGTCTAAACTTCTAACTGCACTGTGGCCTCAAGTTTTACAGTTTAACTCTAAAGGGGTTGTGCTCCTTGAAGTGCGTGAAGAGTAGTTGAGACTTGCTTGGTCTTCTGTGCTTCTCTCACTTTTTTTGCAGGGCTAGAGTCTTGATTTGACTACAGATGATGCCAGACTTGAAAATAACCTCATAAAATTAGAGGGGTTGTGACATGCCAAAAAGTGATTGGGTGCTTTCAAGTTGAATTGAATCTTTCTTGATTTTACTCTCAATGGAAAAGCTGTGTGCTTGCCCCAAGAAAAGCAGGAGATTAACTCTTTGGCTTCTCCTCAATGCCACATTTATCAGAGTGATGTGCCAATAATTTGGAAAATAGGCAATTAGCATATAAAGACCAGTTTGCATTAGAGTTCGTGTTACGGGGTGTGTCTGAATGAAGGAGGAAAGAACTTCTGAATGTGTAGGTAACGTGGAATTATTGTTAAATCCTGACAGGAATGTAGAGGATCTGTAGTTCTTTTAAATCCTTCCTAAAACTGATATTTGTAGGGAATGTAGTGCAAAGCTTTTTGGATCTCCTAGAACACCGTGGCTTCATCTGGGTCTACCGCAGCGTGGAACTCGTTGTCTTCTGGCTTGTAGAGTCTTTTGGGGGGGGAAATAAAGAACATTTTAACTAGTAAGAATAACAATCTGTGAGTGGCTGTGGTGCTGAAGAGCTGCCGAGGGCCTCGCTCGTTGGTGGTTTCCAGGCCATGAGGTCTGGCTTGGCGCAGAGGCAGTCGGGGCACGCTGGGTGGTTTTGAACTGGCGAGGGCCTCCCTGGGATGAAATAACCAAGTTGTTGTGCTGCTCTCCCTGCAGATGGAGGACGGTCACTCCCTCTTCGACTACAGCGTGGGGCTGAACGACATCGTTCAGCTCTTGGTCAGACAAAGCCCAGCAGTGCTTCCTGCTGTTAGCAAGGAGAAGGATCCCGAGCTCTCCGACACAGACTCTGGCTGTGGCTCGGGCCAGAGCGAATCTGACAAAAGCTCTCACAATGGGGAGGGTGCCCTGGAGCTGGAGGGACAGCCCAGCACGGCAGCACAGCCCCCCTGGACCGACCCGGGCTTCGGCCTCTACAAGGCGAGTCACTGAATCCCTGACGGCCCTTGGGGCTGCACTTTGGGAGGGGAATTGTTCCTCTAGCAGAGAATTTCTGAAAATCTTTCACGCCCCAATTGTATGGGTATTTTTATTTACCCCTATACCCTCCAAACAACAACAAAAAACCCTCCAACCAACCCACAAACCAATTAAAATATTCTGACCTTCAGCATGCTGCATTTATTTTTCATTTTAGCCTTTTAACTGAAACTACAATACATTTATGGATTTTTAAAAGAACCCAACAGAGTGTCTGTTTGGATTTAAAAAATTTTCCCAATATTTTTCCTTAGAGTCACTGCATTTGTCAAAGCTGAGACTTCATTAAATGAACAAAAGAAAATCTCAACCAGCTGTCCAAAGTAATTTTATTTGTCTGTTCCAATGGATTTTATTACAGATGTAGTGATGTCTTTGCTGGACTATGAGCAAGACAGTTGTGAGAGTCTGTTACAGACTAATAAAGGTTTGTAGATGTAGAAAGCTGTTTGTGCACACGTTGGTGTAAATGGATTTTTAGCCTTAGTGGTTCAACCCGAGAGGACTGTAGGGGTGCACAATGGGATCAGGAAGGCAAAGGAATTCTTCATTTTAAAGATGATCTGTTAAATATCTGGATAATGGTGAGGATCTTGGGATGGTCCTTTTTCAAGGAGACTTGGAAATCAATGCTTAATTTGACAATCCATTTTGGTGAGCTGTATCCTTTGCTTTGTGTAGATCAACGACTTGGTTGATGCCCGAGACACGAATATGGGAGCGTGGTTTGAAGCCCAGGTTGTAAATGTAAGCAGAAAAAAGCCCCCGAGTGACTCAGCTGCCCGTTGTACAGATCCTGAGCAGCCCACAGCCATCCCTGAGGAAGATGTGATCTATCATGTGAAATATGAAGAGTGAGTTTTCTACCCTCTTGGCTCATAAAGGCATTTGGATCGTGATGTTGATGGGAAATTTTACTGTAGAGATCCACGAGGTGAAACAGAACTGGGCTGATGTGGTAATTACATTATTGAGCCCTGATAAGTGTAAGTTTGTCTTCCAGTTGGAATTCCAGCTGTGGTTCCTGGGGGCTGGAATCATGTTTTTAGAACTAGGAAGTGTGGTTATCCAAATTTAAAATGGGATACAGTAGCAGCAAGGTCAGACTGCCTGGGTGTGGCTGTGTGGGAGAAGGAGGCTTTGCTCTCCATGGGATTCTGGTACGTTGTGTGGCATCAGTCCTTAACTCAACCTGTCTGGATAAAATCTGTCACTTGCAAATATAATGATACTGAATCTGATTTTTCTTTCTGTGCCTCCCTTCTGCTCCAAGTTATCCAGAGAATGGAGTTGTACAATTGAGTTCAAGTGATGTGCGAGCTCGTGCACGGACTATTTTGAAGTGGCACCAGCTAGAAGTAGGTCAGGTGGTGATGGTCAACTACAACCCTGATGAACCAAAGGAGAGAGGGTTTTGGTACGACGCAGAGATCCTGCAGAAAAGGGAAACGAAAATGATCAGGGAGATAAATGCAAGGATCTTACTTGGGTAAGCAAATTCCTAGTGTGGAAAAAATGGAGTTCCCTAATTCTGCTTAAACTGTCATGGGGTCTGAGTGACTGCTGAATAAAAGCCTCTGAGGCAGTGAAACCAGTGCAGCAGAAGTGCTGGGGAGAGCTGAGAAGCTGGACTGTGCTTCTGATTGACTTCCAGTGGAGGAACTGGAGGCTCTAAGGAATCCCAGGGCGTGCTGGTCTGCTCAGTCCCCTCATGATGGGAGCCCTGTCTTGACTAAGAGGCAAAGAGTCGTTAACTGTCCCTAATGGTTTCACAAAAACATCAGTGAAACATTTTGTGCTAGATAAGATTATGTAGAATGGATCCTCACCTTGTGATGATGAGGAGAAATTACTGCAGTCCTCTCCTGGAGGACAGAATGAGCCTATGTGTAGGAACTCTCAACTTCAGGAAAGAATCTTTTTCAGTTTTGGATAAGTTTCATGGTGTTGCCAGAATATTCCTATTTCTTCTTTGACTTTTTAATTGTGAGGTCTGAGAAGAGTTAGTCTGAAATACATTTTTTGCTGTGGGGGGAGCAGAGTCACTAATGATCATTGGAATGCTCCAAGTGTCTTGATTCTTATTGAGACAAGGGTGGGCACACTTTAACTGCACAAAACCAACTTGATTTGGGGTGGTGCTGTCAAACCTCTGCCCCAGGTTGTGGGATGGTGTGACAGGTTTCTGGGGATACAGGATGAACTCCAGCCCAGCCTGTGGTGCACAGCTGTGAATTCCTGC